ATGAAGAATACAGCTACTTCAATAATAAATAAATCTGCCTACTCATTGCCGAATGTGTGGCTGTTCACCATGATCGGAAAGGCACGTAAGTTATTGGCAAGAAAACCACGCAATACAAGCGAGAAGTGATTGAAGCGTACCGATTTCGAAAACGTGGTTCCAGAATAATGCATTAGCCTACCTTCCTTACGGCTATCGAAGAAATAAATCACTTATTTGAGGAAAAAAAATGTGGTTACCAGGTGTCGTTCTCCGCTTTTCGAATTACACTTCGTACAACGCACGCGTTCTCGACTTTCCGGGGATATCACGTGTGATTGTTTCATTGAACTTGTTGTTGCTCGTGTATCTGCCTTGTACGCGTCCAAGAAGCAGGATTCCTTTTTTTTTTTTAAGGCAACTTAGAAGTGTGGCAGCTTGGGCTTAGTTGGTATGACAGGACGATAGTTATAGCGCGAGAACAGAACGACGACAAAGAGACAAGAAGGGCGCGAAGGACACGTGCTGCAGTCTTCTTTCTCACTCTCTCGATGACGCAGCTGATACACGGCGCTGTGCTGAAGCTGGTGACGCTCTCGTCGCTGATCTTCTCGATGAACACGGTGGGCGAGATGCTGTTCTCGTGGAGCGAGCTGCCCAGTTGGGCGCAACAGCAGCCGGCGCCCAACGCCTCGTCCGCGCTTGCTCTCCGGCGGCTTCTCTGGGGTCTCTGAAACGCCCGCGTGCTGTGCGCGCCGTGCCGCGACAACCCACGTCGGCTACTTGTCTGCCAGAACTTTGTTGCTGCGTTATTTATTTATTAACTTTCTTACTACTACTTATACGATTGATCAGTAATAAAATGAATGAAGGAATCTGGTATTACATTTAATGCGGTGCTACGCCTTTTTGGCGAGCCTTCTGGAACGATGGAACGACTTTTTTCGCGTGTGGCTCGTGAGTGGTAAAATTTGAACTCAAAAACAGAGCCACAGTTCACTTCGAGTTGTGCCACGATTTGTTGACGGAATCAATCAAGTTCTCTAATTTTTCGTAACACTTTTGCACTTTTTTTTGCAAGTAGTTTTCTCTGGCAAGTGCATGCCTGTAATTTTTTCTGTCAACTCTTCTCTCCCACCATCACTAACTAACGTTCGGGTGTCGACAGCGTAGCAGGCATGTTGCGGCGCGATTGAAAGCCTTTCGTCTTCTCTGTCCATAGTCATTCTTCATTAGCAGATGTACTTCCTAGTTCTTTTGTATTTTTCTTATTTGCTACGCAGAATGGCATTGAGTATTAGCAGAATGTATTTGTAGATAAGCTGAAAAGTTAACATGTTTTTTTGTTTAGCATGCATTTCTTCAGGATAAAGTGTGCACATGTGTCTGTTCACCTCCAAAATGGTATTACTGACTGCTCACGAATGAACGCGCCGTATAATGACCATGACAACAAAACACTTGACCATGCGTAGCTGGTTTTTCTTTTCTGCCAGAAACACCTTTTATCGTTTGCATAGTACCACGTATTAGAAATAACACCACATACGTGTTAAGCGGTGGCCTTGCTATGCAAGCAGGTTCTCTTTTTTGTCTTCAGTTGAAATGTGCATCTTATTAGGGTTCGCCAGCTTTGATAATTTTGTGAGATAATTACCTATCGTGTGATTCAAAAAGAAGAGGGGGGGGGGGTTACCAGCTGAAGAAAGCTGTGATCCCTTTTTGTGAATTGGGGGTGGAGTTTCTCCGAGAGTATGAACGCAGCGGCCTAAAAAAATGGCATCTGGTTGATACATCACTTGGATGCCTGAATACTTTCACTTAACAAATCAGAGTTATCATGACTGCAGTTTCCTTGAACGAAAAAGACAGGTTTTGTTTTACAATTCAAACTTTTCTTCATTGCTTTTCACCTGTTTTACGTAAGTTTTTTTTTTTCACATTATGTTTTGACAGCACCTTATGCTGTTATAATTCTTGTGTTACTTCACATGTTTTTTTTTCCTCTGGTATCACGTATCACCGTATGCATTTCACAATATCTTGCTTCGCACTCGTCGATTGCACGTGTAGATTGTGTACACTACAACGTATTGTCCACAAATTGGATAACCCTTTGTAGGCATGGAGCTCTACAATGACAAATGAATACGGTTTTTCTGGCACAGACGTGCTACGTTTCCACTTGTTCCGGAAACGAACTGCTTCATTCAGGTTATAGTGCCAAAACCTACACCTGGGTCGATTTATTCACACTAGAATATGCTCCGTCGTTTCTTTAGCCTCTCCACAGTGCGTGCATTGGAACAGTTTTCTTCTTGTTTTATGCTTTTCAGCTCGTTGAACGCATTATTAAAATGTCGCTTGCTCAATATTTTTTATTCTTTTTAATTTATTTTAAATCTCGGTGTAGCAGTCAATATTTGCACACCGGCTGCCACGAGACCTAATAGTGCTAGTTTTTCTTTTTTTTTTATAGCCGGTTGCCAAAAAATTTAGTAAATACCACTCTACAACAGAAGAACGGCTTATAATAAATACCATTTTCATGTATATAAATAGTCCCTCCTTTGTGTTTCTCTTTTTGCTCTGTGTTGCTGTTTCCTATCCCTACAGGGATGCCAACCTTTATGAGTGTCGTCACTATTGATTGATTTGAAGGGTTTAACGTACCGTATCATAACGAGAGACGCCGTAGTGGAGGGATCCGGAAATTTTGACTACCTGGTAATCTTTAACGAGCACCCAAATCTGAGCACACGGGCCTACAACATTTCCGCCTCTATCGAAGTGTCTTCAGTAGCTCACGCTAGGATATTGACACTTTGAAGAGCAGTGTGGGACTTCATTAACTTTCTTTTCTCTCCTACCCTTATGTGTACATACCGTTTTCGGAAAAGTGAAACTAGGCGCTGCCGTTGGGGCTATTCAGGAGTGTGGTAGCGGCAGTTATACGACGAATTAAGGCGCTGAGCAGCACGGCAACGCACTTTATTAGGAAACAACGCTACAGAAATAGTTTCCAACGACAACTATCTTCTGGCTTGCGTTTTTCGCCCCGAGCTCGTATTCGCCGACACACATTTTAAAACCGGAAGCAAAAAAAAAAAAAAAGCCTTGATCCCGCAAACGCAACGACGCAACAATCCACTGGGCTAAGCACAGGCTGAACTTTTTTTTTTTTCACACTGGCGCCACAATGCGGGGAGGAAGAGAACTCGCCGGAATCGCGCCTCACACGCTTCTCGGCCGCAGCTCCAGCAAGCAGTGGGCAGGCGCAAAGCCTCCGCTCACCGCTGACCCCCGTATTTTAGAACGCCCCTTCACTTAACGCTGAACCTTCACTTAAGAAAGCCGATGGAAGCGCCATCTGTAGGCAGGGAAAGTCACTGCATATAATAGATAATTTGCTGCTATTCTTGAGTAGCGCAGCGTCATTTCAGCCGAGCAGCGGCGCAGTGCGCAACTCTGTCAAGTGAAGGGTGAAAGTCGAGTCGAGGAGCGTTTGTGAATACGGGGGGGTAAGGCGACGGCCGATACAGCTGCAGGTCTATTCGACAGTGCACGATCGTACCGCTAATGACGCTCAGTTGATAATTGTTGGAGATTTCCGTCTTAAGACCCGATATGATGTAGAGAGATGCCGTCGTGGTAGATTCTAGGAATTCCGACTACCCGGAGTTTTTTAAGTACATGGGTTTCTATCACATCGCCTCCACAAAAAGCAGCCGGCGTTTGACCCCGTGACTTTCGTGTAAGCAGTCGGGGACATCAACCACCGAGGCGGGTGTTACCACGTTCAATTGCGTATCCGCTAAGAATGTTCGAACGCGTGGCACAACAAAGCTCGCAGTCAATATGCTTTTCGTGTGCCCCTCATGATTTGTTGTGTCTAATGAGCGTTGTCCAATAACCAGTTTTTATTTTTTTTTGCCGCCTTGTACAGTTGTCCACCTCTCGTTATTACACTAAGATTGTGTTTCACCTTGAGGACACTATTTTAAGTTTTTTTTATATTAGCCTCACAGATTTTTAACATCTTTTATTCATGAAGAAACGGGTGACACAAACCTGACTAATGTACTTGAGCTGCGATGTTTTCCCGCCTACTAATTTCGATCGTTGCAGTATTTGCTGTGGTTCACGGTGTTAACCAATTTCCCTGCTTAATGACTTCAAATGGCACCACCCTATAGGTAGTGAAAGAATAATTAGCCGTCTAAATTAATTGAAATTTTGGTTCTCCTCATTATGATAAAGACGTGCTGTCAAATAAGTGACCTGATTTCGGCACGGGTCCAGCGAGAACATCGGTTCCCACTGGCGCACGTTCCTACGCGTAACAACAAGGCGACTCCGCTGACGAAAACAAACAAAACACAAACAATGGGTGTCCGTGAAAACACAAACGGTGGGGGCGTGAAAGGGGAGGATCAACAGGTAACACACATCAAGCTTGCTACAAGCACTGACAACTTTCACTCGAACGATGAAAGGTTTTTTCAGGCTAAAGACTCTAAGCGCGCGTCGTGTTTGTATAGAAATGCATGACAGATGACAAACGGAAAAACCGATGTACACGGATGTGTCACTTTTCCAGACTCGCACCTACAGGCAGCATCGGGCTGAGTGTAATGAACGAAAGAGAACTTAGAAGTCGGTACCAACCCGCCAACTCGCGCACTCGTAAAAGAAATCAGCAAACGGGAATCGATGAGGAAATTAGGGAGTTAAGTGACGTCAGTAGTTGAGCGTAGGACGTGAAAGGGAAGGTGGCAAGCGAAAACGAAGACGACGCGAGGCGGACGACGGCGTTGTTCGAAAACCGCGATGCCATTTTACGTAACTCCGCGTTAAAAGAGCGTTAAAAGCCCTCGGAGAGAGAGAGAAAAAAAGCGAAAGACAAGAGGTGAAAGCCTCCCCGACAAAATATGTTTTGTTTGTTCGTCTAGGGCTCGCGTTACGAAGCGGGCGAACGTACAAAATATCTCGAGTGTATATCGCCACGCGTCGAGTGTATCTTTTTTTTTTTCGGTCACCGTCGTGACACGTCTTAACATCTGCTCACTACAAACAGTAAAGTCTCGAGTCTCTCTGTCACAGCAGCCGCGCACACTATTTCCGTCACTCGCGTCACACTCCTCATATTCAGCACAACGAGGATTGGGCTGACGATGTCCCGACTCGCTGAGCGAAGCGAAGGTAGCCGAGGAGGGCATGCCGGGAAGGGCTTCTGGAAGCGTCTTCGACCGACCGATGGCGGCAGGCTCAGTCGTGGATGCGCCGCAGACGTGGCGCCACCTTGGACATGAGTATGTCAATCGGGAGCTTGTCGTCGAACAGCGAGGGCGCCTCGAGGATGATGCAGGCGGAACCCACAACGCATGTGAACGTGAACAGCAGCAGGAATAACCGGTCCAGGACCATGGCCACGAAACGCCAGTCTTCTATGACCTGCGCGCGCACGTAAGAAAAACAGGTGAGTTTCTTTTCATTGAACGCGTAATCGGGGGTCGAGAACATGCCCGCTACGGCGGCTGTCGAAATGTTGTGCACACGCGAGACGAGTTACCTCGCAGGCCTACTCTGAAAAAGCACCGTTGACGGTTTGTCGGTCGTGGTCAAGAAACTTGTTACCTACTACCGCTACATAACCTACCTCACAAAGGGGGGGGGGGGGGGGGGGGGATGGGACTCAATTCTGTATCAGGAAAAGGAGTCGACGAAAGATGGAGTGTGCACGCCTGGCGTTATTTATTTATTTATTTATTTATTTATTTATTTATTTATTTATTTATTTGTCACATCGCTCTGCATGACGAGAATTGGATGACATGGACATTAACGAACCATACCAACAGTTAAAGTCTTTCCGAGTTTAGTGGGCGAGTAGTGAGGGCTAAGCTCAGATTCTATGGCACATACGTGATTTTTTTTCAGCCACACGAGACTTTTTCATTTTGAATTGTTCTGAAGTGACAAGCGGGGCTCACCCGTTTTCAGTGGCACATACCCGCCAAAGCTTTCGCGTACGGCGACAGCCGCACCGATGGCGAGACGAGTCAGGAAATACAAGGTTCGCTTAAAAACGCGACGCCCAAATATGCCCGTCTTTCCGAACTTTCCCATCGGCGAAGAATCCCCCTCTAATCGAGTAAGAAGTGGTGCAAAGTGCAGAGAAATTCCGTTCATTCTGACAAGCAATGCGTGCTGACATCCTCTGATATTAATAAAAGTGATGGAGCACTAGGCGCACCTGGTCAAAGTGGTCGGCATTCTCCATGTGCTGCGCGATAAAGCGCACATTGAAGACGGGCCTGGCCAGGTCCTGGTCGAGCAGGGATCCAGGGTCGGCGCCGCCGTCGGGAGGCGAGGGCAACGCCCTTGGGGAGGCGTCGTCCCCACCGCTCTCTGGGGGCTCGGCTGAATGGTACGCGCACAATGTCAGTTCCTGCGCACAGGTGGGCCTCTGGTTAACCTTTCTGGCTTTTCTTACCTGTCGGTTCTGACGAACATTAAGTGAAGAGAAAAGATGCACAGTGGGTTTTCAAATCTAGAAGTACACGTTGCTGGGCTAGTCACTTCATGTTCAATCAGGAGCCACAGTTGTGGCTATTTCACACAAAAAAATAGCAATAGAAATTGTGAAGGGCATTTTTTAGATCCCGTTAAAACAATTGAATCGTGAATGACGCAATTTAAGCTACTGGAGGTGCGTGACCGCCATTGCTGAAGCCAGCTTTGCACACCACCAGTATTTGACGGCTAACATCTTTTACTCGCTCACTGGCTTGCCTATACTCACTAACAAACGTAACATGCAGTGACTGTCTAAATAACGTGAATTGAAAGCAATGCAACCAGTTCAAGATGCGTGTCTGTCAATATGTTTCTCTCTTGCAAAGTCGCTGTGGCATTTAGGGTGAAACCTAGGGTCACCTTACCAAAATTGCCGTAGTGGTCAGGGAGTCATACTTCACTGCATCATCTGTAGAATAAGAGTGCCTTTGGATTCCCCGAATGCCTCGACACAATTCGTTCCAAACATCTTCCTATATGATAAGATACTCGTAGCACGCGTTTATCTAAACCGTTTACGACCATGTCGACTCGTGTAAATGCAGTTCTATTTATTATATACATCCATATATGTGCGATAAAAAGTTGGCACCTATACAAGGAATGCTGTGTGAATTAAGGCTCAGACATTGTAGAGTACCAGTTATACGTATTTTTGTGCAAATGCACACCGTGTAGACGCTGGGCGTTCTATACCGCGCATCGATTCTCGGTTGTCTGTTATGCACAGTCTCAGAGAAAAACACTCGCAAAGGAAGTGCCAGTAATTTACATACCTGTAGCGGCGGTGGTGGCGGTGGTGGCGGCGGCGGAGGAGACGGCGGAGCTCGGTTGTCGGCGGACGGCGTGGCATCGAAGCCCATGGCACTGGCATCGTCATCGTCATCATCGTCTTGGGGCCGTTTCATGAGGAGAACGGGGGGCAGGACCTTGAGGAAGACGTGCTTGACCCAGGGCGCCATCTTGTGCGTCGCCGGCGAGCGGAAGTTGACGTTGAGCACGGCGATGGTGACGAAGACGGAGAGGGAGACGAGCACCATGGTGAAGAGCAGGTACTTGCCGAGCAGGGGCACGGCCAGCGACGTGGGCGGGATGATCTCGGAGAGGAGCAGGAAGAAGACGCCCAGCGAGAGCATGATGGAGATGGAGAGCGAGACCTTCTCGCCGGAGTCCGAGGGCAGGTAGAAGACGAGCACGGAGAGGAAAGAGATGGCCACGCAGGGGATGATCAGGTTGACGGTGTAGAACAGGGTTTTGCGCCGCAGCGTGATGTTGAAGGTGATGTCCGGAAAGGGCTCCTCGCAGCACGAGTAGAACTTCTCCTTGCGCCGCGCGGGCACCGCCATGATGTCCCACTCGACGCTCAGGTAGAACTCGGACAGGTCGATGCCCACCGCGATGTCGTTGGAATCGTCGCGCTGGTGCTTGTGCTTCAGGTCGACCTGCGCATCGACTCTTGTTTATTATATAAAGGCCTTATTAGGTGCCTCGTCATACGCGATCAGTGGCAGTTGGTGTCGATATGAGTCGCAGATAGATGATACTTGTGATGTCACATGACATCATCTTATGATGTAGTCACATGGTCATGGGAGGGGGGGGGGGGCTGGCAATCCCGGAGGCCTGCTCGGTACAGAATGCTTGTGGTGTCTGCGGTTCCCAATCGTCGTGTAAGACCATGCCACGCAAATCGCTCATGTGGAAAGATATCAATACAGTCGACTCGGAAGGGAAAAAAAGTAAGGTGGCTTTCACCTTCGAGTTATCTCCAGAGGACGCGCTTTATCAGATTTATTAATATCTGTGCGGATCTACAGTATATCACTTCTTTGGTGCTCGAATTAGCGACTGAGCCTCGTTCAGAGACGCTGCTAATGACATATGTATATGAGCCCCATGAGCTCATTTACGGGAAGTCTGTAACTAATACTTATTCTGTATTATTAACAAGATGTAATTGTAGCGCATAGCGCTGCATACAGACACTGACCGTGTATCCGTCGTAGGTCCAGGATCCAAACTTCATAAAGCAGGTCTGCTGGTCAAATGGAAAATATTGCACGTCTATCTCACAGGAACTCTTGTAGATTGCGGGTGGTTTCCAGATGACGAGTCCATCCGAATGGAGAATGGCTTTGGTCATGATGGTTACCTCGTAGTTGCCATCAGCACTGCCCAAGGAAACGTGCACAGTGGCGACACAAACGTTATCAGAACGAGCGCCGCAATCTCGCAGTGTCCAAAACAGTCAAGTGGCATCGTACAAAAAGCATCGACAGTTGTGCAAAGCTCTAACACAGAATAGTCTTATGGCGTATAATTTACTTCAACGAACAAGTGACAAACCAGAAATTTGATTAACCTAATTCGAGCCATCCTGTAGTTTTTTTTTTTTTTACTGTCGTAACAACTTATGAAACCGTTAACATTAGGGCTTGCCTAACCATAAGAAAGGAAGAAGGCGCCAAGTAGAATTAGCCGGGTGAATAAACTTAAAGTTTTTGAAACGAAAAATAATTATCAAGGCTATACAGAAGACAAAAATTGAAGGCTCAATACTCAGCAGTAAGCATGTTTCGTATTTAAATTTAGAGACGTGCACATGTTTTCACGTATATACATGGTACTATACTGCACGTGAGGACATGGAGAAGAGAAAGTCTATATAACCAATTCGGAACAACCGTGGAAACAGGAAACACAACTTCTCATTTCAATTTCCTATTTTATATGATATCCTATCCAGCTTGAATGACAGGTCGAGGACTCGATACTGCTTTGATTTGTAATGTTGAGAACATAAGCAGGATGCGTACTTTTTTTAGTTTTATTGCCCGGTACATTAAAGCATGATTTCTCAAAGTGGTTTCTGCAGAACGTAGAAGTTCGGCGGGCCGTTCCTCGGTACACCGCGGGACACCGATAATTTTTTTCCTGGCTCCGCACTCGCCAAGTCACTCAGATGGTGAAATCGATCTGCGATCGGTTTAAGGAACCACTAATGATCACGCCCTAGAGTTCATAGGCACATCTCGTTGCATAACAGAAACACGCGAGGTGCGCAATAAATCCGGCCAGTGGCTTGAAGCCAGCCAGACTCCAGAAACCGGCAGCGTGGTTAAGCTACTGCGTTTGAATCTTGGAGGCCCTATATTAACCCCACGCTCGCTTCTCCTGCTTGAAGGTATACGTGCCGAAGATAAGGCAGTGGACATGCTGATGCCATTTTCAGCTGCATATGCTTGTGAGCAAGAATCATCGACTCTATAGCCTATCGAAAAATAAGCGCAGGAATCTGCCGAACAGAGCAGCCGACATGCGGCCGGCCTCGAATGTGACTGAGCCTCTCGATTTGTCGGTGCAGGGAAGGCGAGTTCAGTTGCATGTGAGTTAATCATTTCTTTACATACTCTTGCTTTTAACTTCATTGCAGGTGAATGCAGCGTGAGCCAAATGAAAAACGTTTGCATGAAAGCGCGCGAGGAGGAAGGAGGAAGCAGGAGGTTCTATATAACTTCTATGGCACTTCACGAAGCTTAGTGGATTCCCTGGGACCAACATACTTGAGGATCCCTATATTAAATGATCATCGAAATTGTTACGCATTAGGTTTGTTGTAATGTCGTGTCTGCATTTTAGAATATTAAAAGACGCCAAAAATATATTGGAATGTACCAATGTAATTAATTTGTACAAGCCAGCTCTCGGTTCAGTCAAAGTGGCGACTCGTAAATGCTTAGCAACACAACCAACAAATAAACATAGACGAAAATGGCTATATTGGCACGACAAGAAATACAGTCATTATATAGTAATATTTACTTAATTGTCTGCGTAAGATACTGCTTCATTGTGACCTCCTGAATGCAGATCTATTCGTTTTTTGAAATATTCTATGGCATTCCGCTCAGAAAATGAGAAAAAAAAAAAGATTTGAAAACGTAAGCAGGCATAAACAAAGATTGTTCGCTGCGCAGCAAAGGGTTTTCGTTGTGGAAAAGAAAAGCTTCGAAGGCACTCACTTATTGTAAAGAACAATATCGGGCAGCCATATTTGTTCAGCCGGTACGTGGACTTTCGTCACTCCGCCATACTCTTCCGGGTCCCAGCGGAGCTTGTAGTCGTTCCACTCCTACACGGAAAGCGTGACCCGAATGGAGGCACTTCAGAAGAAATGCATGCTCTAAGGTGGCTGATGCCAGTTGAATTGTGAAAGGCCGCATCTTTATACGGTGCATTTCCAAATGCTTTCGTACGTGGATTTTATAGAAACAGGGATTGATTGATTGATTGATTGATTGATTGATTGGTTGATTGATTGATTGATTGATTGATTGATTGATTGATTGATTGATTGATTGATTGATTGATTGATTGATTGATTGGGGCAGCTTGAGACAGTGCTGGTTGAGCTTTCGCCCGGACCCACTTTTCCGGATCCTCCATAGCATCTTCTTAGTCTTCTCTAGTACACTATGTAAGTTTCGGTGATGTCTAAAAAAGCATGAAGCGAAATGAAGGTTTTGTCATTGCAGCAATTTGGCCATAATTCTCATGACAATCTAAATAATCCCCACAGAGAACTGAGCGCTCCTTGACTGTACTACATGATCAAGGAGAGAGCTCTGCGGCCAGCTGTATGATGTTTGCTTTTTGATTTTTAGGAGCAATAAAAAATATAGCATGGCTTACCTGCTCCACCCACACATTTGTTGTCATGATCTGATTCTTGAGGTTCTGAAAAGACCCAAGGCGGCATCTCAGAGCTATCAAAAGCACACCTTTTCGCGAGCGGCTGTGAGTGCCTACTAATGACCAATTAATGAACGACAAAGCAAGGCTTGTTAATTTACCTGGTACAGTAATATGCGTATACCTTTGATTGTGTTATAAACAATGATTACACATGTTGGAATCATTTCGTTCTCACTGACGTGTGTCTGCTGCCGACAAGGCGTCAGCCGCAAAAGCAAACGGTATTTACATTAAAAAAAAATCATGTACCTTGCCCCTCCCCCTAACGACTTCGCTTCCACGAAAAACATGAATGTATGCCATGAATGTTTTCTCGCGCCTTTATATAACAACTCTTCCTTCCCAAGTCCCAAGTCGGGCGCTAGCAACTCAAGCAAGCAGACAGTAACCAATGGCCACTGCCTACTTAATTTAGCGCAGTAATACGTGCTAGCTGTCGCCTTGTAGTCTGCGCTCTCTATTTCATGTTATCCCCTAATGGCTATAGGTATTGCACACAGTACCATCGTAAGTGGGCGGGTGTCCTGGTAATTGTTTGCTGAACGGCCCTTGTGAGCATGTAAACCTATAGAGCCAGCCAACATCTTGCAGCAGTGCGCGTTTTGAAGTGCCGATTACATTACAGTGCGTGCGTTGCAGAGGCGATCGATGGCGCAGCTAGCTCACCACGTCGATGAGCTGCGACAGGCGGAGGCCCATCTTGACCGTGAGACGGTCCGAGTTGTTTCCCACGGGCCTGATGAGCGAGCTGTATCCGTTGATGAGGTCGTGGTAAAGGCGCTTGGTGTCCGCGTTAGCCGCGCAGCTCCGGCGTTCGCCAGCTGAGCAGCGCCACGATGAGCGCCGACAGCCGGAGGCGCCATGCCGGCCCCGCCGCCCGCAGCGGCCGGAGGCGGCGGCACGCTTGTGGTCCTCGACGGTGTCTCGCCCATGGCACCAGCAGCAGCAGCCTACGTGCTTCGCCGCATGGCCCGCTGCTTGGTGAGCGCTGGTGGGCGCCCGGCGGCCAAGCTGTCCCCGCGCCGGCGTTGCCGCCACCGCGTCGTCCGCTGCTCCGCCGGCGTTGCTGTCGTCTCCGGCGACGCCCTCCTCCTCCGACGCGCTCCGCATCCTCCCTCCGGACGAGGCCTCCTCTTCCGCAGGGTGAGGGAGCGACTTGGCCAGCGGCCAATCTCGGGGAAGCGCCGCGCTGCGGCACGCCGGCAGGCGGCTGCGAAGCAGTGTTGGAACACCACATTCTTTGCCCTCTGTTCGCAGGCGTGTCCGTCCGCGTCTCTGTACGTGTGCCTGGGAGGACGTGTAAACGTCGCGCAGCTCTCTCGCGCGCGTCATTTATCAAATGTGCAAACTCTGAATGAAGATGGAGAGCATAGTTGTGTGAAATCGGCAATAAAGCAAAACTTGTGAGGACGGTCTTCCAGCCTCGCGGTGTATTACTGCATTTTTTTATTTGCTTTTGCATTTCATGCTCCACTCTCTAAAATCGATCGGCGCTACACCAAGGTAACGTTTACTGAGAAACAAAAATTTGCTTCTTTGATAGATGTCGTGCACTCAGTTGTCCATTCCCACAGTTTTCACTTCTGTATTTAGGTATTTTGTTATGGGCATTTTATTTTTAAAGTTATTACTCAATAATGTCGGAAATAGATATGACACTATCAATGTATGACCCTCACGTTTTGTTTTTTGTTTTAACAGTGGCACATTTTTGTAAATTGGCATCTGCATGTTGAAACGCATTTAACGCAGCCCCAATCGAAAATGACGGCATTAGTCGACCGTTGTTTTTTTTTTTTTTCGTAAATGTACAAATTCGTTTTCTCTAAGAATGTTTTATTTTTGGCATATATCCTCTACTTAGCGTTTATTGTAAACATTTTGATGTTTTTTTTTTCATTTCGCTAAGTGTTCGTCGCGTGTCATCACCTTTTGCGGTGTCAATTGGTTGTTGTTGGCCGTAACTGGCTATAACCTAGTGCTCCACTCAACTGCCAAGCGCCCTCAAAGCGGGTCTGCCCGATCTGTCATCACGCTTTTCTAAACGTTTCCGGTAGATTCGCCGCGGCCAAAGACGGATCGCCGCCACCGGCTATCTCTCCTTCTTCTCCCGAATCTTCATCCACCTCCTCCGTCGTCGGGATGTGCGGGAGCAGCGGATCGATGGTGTGGACGGAGACGTGGAGAGAGGGCGGCGATGGCGTCGTGGCCGTTCCCCGGCGGCCGACGTGGTTCTCCATCCATGGCGGGGCCGGCGGAGCTGCTCGTCGCGGCTCTGCTGGCGCTCTGCGCGCCCCACTGCTGCCTGGGGAACCCGGACGCGAAGAGGCTCTACGACGACCCTCATGAGCAGCTACAACCGGCTCATCCGACCCGTGAGCAACAACTCGGACCGGCTCACCGTGCGCATGGGGCTCAAGCTCTCCCAACTCATCGATGTGGTAAGTCTCGCGACGGGTACCGCGCCTACTCGTCTTCGAGCCGTAGGCTTCAGAAGGATTCTTTGTTGGGGTGTGCGAACCCGTGTTGTGTCGCAGCTGGGGCGAAGGGAAGTGATGGTGTATAGCTTGGATGGGGTAAGGGGAGTGTTGTTTCGGCTTGGGGAGGGGCAAGTGCCCCTTTTTGCACTTCTTGCCGACGTCCATGATACAAAGTGCTGGATCTGGGGTACAACGTGCGCAAATAAGAGATTACGAAAATGTTCTTTACCATGTCGTGAACTGTACTCGTTCTCAAGGTGTGGAGACAAAATGCCCTGGGAACGTATATAGATATTGTACCATCAATCCTACATTGTAACGTTAAAAAAAACTCAACGAAGCAGCCAGATAGGAAAAAAATAAGCTAGAGACAGATGCTGAAGCCACAGTTCTATACTCGTGCTTGCAGATCCTCCCTTCTCTCGTACATGACTAAGCTTCAGGGGCGAACGAAGCGGTAAGGTTTACCACGCCGTTCACTATCACTCTTGGCTGTACATCCTATAGCTTACCACAACCTGTCGCCAAAGGGCAGGTTGTGTCATCAATGTTATTTCACTGCCAGTTTAGTGTTGTATATGATATTATACGTGTCAATCAGCTCTGCACAATTTATATCAGCACACAAGCCAGCTAGTAACACAAAAGCGCTCAACACAAGTCACGCAATTACCACACAAGTCGCGCAATTTCCGCACAAGTCAAAGCTCCGAAAGATGTGGAAATAATGAACGAAATAATAGATGGTGACAAAAAATATAGAAGTGAATTCTTTAAGCACTTGTTATTTGCTGCTCTGCTTCGCTCAATGTGATCACCATTTTTCCCATTTTAATTATCATCTTTCTTTCTTTGTAGAACCTAAAGAACCAGATTATGACAACCAACGTATGGGTCAACCAGGTAAGTACGAAAATCACGTTGCTCTTATTGCTCTGAAGACTCTAGCTGGACACGGCACATAACATGTTCGAACATTTATGGAGCACCAAGGAACAGTACGTAGCTTAAAACGCATGACATGCACGATAGCGGTAACAGTCACTCGCGACTTGTAAAAGATACCGTGTTTCACAAAGCAGTCATGTTAAATCAGGTACAAAAAGCAAAAAGAAACTATATTTTTGTTTGTACCATCTTTTACATATTTATTCTAATGAATGTGGCAATTTCACATACTGGGAGCAATCAATAGTTGCAGCACAGCTTTCTCAGAAGGATCGCAGTTTTAATTTTTATACTCCCGTTATAGTGCGCGTTCGTGTTCAACTTTATTTGTGTAGAACTTGCACCTTGCACCAGAAATTTGCAAAGACACGCTGCTTTGTTAATGGCGTGCTTATCTGCAGTGTGAAGGTTCTATACAAAAGAACTAATATTCATTTAAGAAGGCGTTGAAGTACGCTTAGTGAACCATAAATGTTCTAAGCCCGCTAAAAAAAAAAAAACCGGCTCGCCGGGTGCATGTAAGGTTATCGTGAGTCCGCCAATAATTCAACATAACGGCAACATGTTATAAAGCGCGCTAATAATTTCACCCTGTGTTACCATTTTTTTTTCTACCTCTTCGGCACTGTAGACTCGTTGCGTAAAGGCCCTGTTTCGTTGTTTCCCACAGGAATGGTCGGACCACAAGCTCAAGTGGGATCCGCAGGAGTACGGCGGAGTCACTGAACTATACGTACCTGCAGAACCAAATCTGGCTCCCTGACATTGTTCTCTACAACAAGTGAGGTCGCACATCACTCACAATTTAACCTGCCACAGCTCTGCGCATGCACCGTACTTCGGCATGCAGCAAGTGAGGACTGCGTCTCGTCTCGTAACCGCTAATGCTCGCAGTGCTCAAGAGGCATCTTTCTTTCTTTCTTTTGTAGTACAAGAATTTTAGAACATAATGTGTGCTTTATTCGGCATTCGTGAGTTCCCTGCTACTTCCACAATCTCACTGGAGCTGAATAGCGCCAGAAATAAGGTCTTGGAACTAATAAATGTGTGTTGCGTTGAGCGCATATAATGCTAAAGTAACCACGGTACCGAACCATGAGAGTGAAACAACAAGAAGAATAAGGATGGGGTGGATACATTCGACAAGCATTCTCATATCATCATTGATAATCTACCGCTAACCCTCAAGAGGAGGTATACAACAGCTGCATCTTGCCGGTAGTTACCTACGAGCAGAAACCTGGAGCTTACAAAGAGGGTTCAGCTTAAATTGAGGTCGACGCAGCGAGCGATGGAAAGGAAAAATGATAGGTGTAACCTTAAGAGACAAGAAGAGGCTGAGGGGTCAGGCCACAAACCGAGGTTAAAGAAATCATAGTTGAAATCAAGAAAGAACTGGCGACAATAGGCCGGGCACGTAGCACATAGGCGGATAACTGCTGCTCGTTTAGAGTAAATGACTAGCATGCCAGAGAAGGCAAACGCACGAGGGGGAGACAAAAGTTAGGTGGGCCGATGATATTAGAAAGTACGCAGGTATAACGTGCAACGAAACACAAGACCAGGTTGATAGAGGCCCTTGCCCTGCACTGGCATAGTCAGGCTGATGATGATGAAATGCTGAAAGTAAAAATTCTACGTTGTATTGTGTGGTGAATTCTTGGCTTATGTCTGCCGCTAATGCCCAGTGCTGACGGCAACTACGAGGTGACCATCATGACGAAAGCCATATTCACGAGGACGGTCGGGTTGGTGTGGAACCCGCCGGCCATTTACAAGAGCTCTGCCAGATCGACGTGCAGTACTTCCCGTTCGACAAGCAGGACTGCTTCATGAAGTTCGGATCCTGGACGTACGATGGATTCCAGGTGACTAGAGCTGGCATATTTTACTTTATTTCTTTACTTCAACGTACTGTAGCTTCCAATGGATGTCGCGAAAATGGAGGTAGTAAATACGAAATCACAATAACAAAAAACATACTGAACATGAAGATCAGTGGTTAGCAACGCGTTCCGTTTTGCGATATACCTTTTTTCATAATTGTAAAGCCCGCTTTACTGTTATGCAGTTTGCCCTACTAATTGCGGCTTGCCACTCTCTGCGAAAGCCGTACTCAAGCGCAAATTACGTGCGCTATGACATGATAAATGTAGATTCGGCTTTCTTGGCATAAACATGCACAATAGACAATGCCTAGCACGTAAAACTAGTAACTTGTCTTTACTTAAAGCACCACCAGGTGGTCCCATTAATTGGGTGAACATGAAGTGTAGAAAAACGCACCTGCGGTTTTGAAAAGCATGTTTGATCCCTCCTGATTGAGATAGGGTAAAAGACCAAAGTAAAACATGTCCTCACAGGAGGTATTTTAAAATTTACTGTAGATTG